TTGCGTATAACTATTAGCAGTGGTTCATCTTGGTAATAACTATAGCAGTTGGTGTCATTCTTGGTATTAACTATAGCAGTGTGTTGTCATCTCGGTATAACTATCACGCAGTGGTGTCATCTGCCGTATAAACTATAGCAGTCGGGTGTCATCTGCCGTATAACATATAGCAGTTGTGTTCATCTGCGCTACAACTATAGCAGTTGGTGTCTATCTGCGTACAACTATAGCAGTGGTGTCATCTGCGCCAGTATAACTATAGCAGTGGGTTCATCTGGTATAACATAGCTTGTGGTGTCATCTGGTACAGACTATAGCAGAATAAATAAAAAAAAAACTGGTGTCATCTGGTATAACTATACAGCAGTGGTTCATCTGTATGAACTATAGCAGTGGCTGTCATCTGGTATAACTATAGCAGTGTCGTCTGTCATCTGGTACAACTATAGCAGTGGTGTCATACTGCGTATAACCTATAGCACGTGTCATCTGGTATAACTATAGCAGTGGCCGGCTGTTCATCTTGTATAACTATAGCAGCTGGTGTATCTGCGATATAACTATTAGCGTGCGTGTCATCTGTATAACTATAGCAGCTGGTGTCATCTGGATAACTATAGCAGTGCGTGTCATCTGGTATAACTATAGCAGTGGTGTCATCTGCGTATAAACTATAGCCCAGTGGTGTCATCTGGTATAACTTATAGCTGTGATGTCATACTTCGTTATAACTATAGCCAGTGCGTGTCATTCTGGGTATAAACTATAGCAGTGGTGTCATCTTGGTAAACTATAGCAGTGGTGTCATTCTTGGTATAACTATAGCAGTGGTCAGTGTCATCTGGTATAACTATAGCATGGGTGTCATCTGGTATAACTATAGCAGTGGTGTCATCTGGTATTAACTATAGCAGTGGTGTTCATCTGGTATAAACTATAGCAGGCTGGTGTCATCTGGTATAACTATAGCGAGTTGCGTGTCATCTGCAGTATAACTATAGCAATGGTGTCATCTGGTATAACTATAGCAGTGTGGTCATCTGGTATAACCTATAGCAGTGGTGTCATCTGCGTATACTGTTATAGCAGTGGTGTCATCTGGTTACAACATATAGCAGTGGTGTCATCTCGTATAACTATAGCAATTTGGTAGTCATCTGCGCTATAAACTATAGCAGTGGTGTATCTGGCTACAACTATAGCAGTGTGTCATCTGCGTATAACTATCAGTTGTGTGTCATCTGGATAACTATTGCAGTGTCTGTCATCTGGGTATAAACTATAGCAGCTGGTTGTCATCTGGTTTTATAACATATAGGCAGTTGGTGTCATCTGTATAACTCTATAGCAGTGGTGTGCATCTCCCGCGTTTATAAACTAAGCAGTCGGTGTATATATTAACTATAGCAGCTGGTTCTCCGACGTTCATCTGGTATAACTATACCGCAGTAGTGTCATCTTGATAACATATTAGCTTAGTGCGTGTTCATCTTGGTATAATATAGCACCGCTGCGTCTCATTGGATAATATAGCAGTGGCTGCCATCTGGTACAACTATAGCAGTCCGGTTCATCTGCGTATAACTATAGCAGATCGGTGTCATCTGGTATAACTATATCAGTGGTGCCATCTGGTATAACTATAGCAGTGGTGTCAATGGTATGATGGCTGCAACTGTAACCGTCTATATATCTGTTCGGTCGATCGGGTATATTTCGGCTGCAGAGACATGACTGAGATTCGCAGCAGTCGTTTTCCTTTGGCGGCACAAAGTTCTGTCGGCCTGTTTCGCCGCCAACTACGACGCAGACTGCAAATTTCCACACGTAATCTATAGTTGCTCTCTCTCTCTCTCTCCCCTTCTCCCTCTGAAAACTGACGTCTACGTCTCGCTCGCTCTCTCTCGCTTCACAGGAGCCGCACATCCAGCAGCTGAAGGTGCTCGTCGACGAGGTGCAACAGCAGTTCCTGCTCGCGACGATACGCAGTTACCTGAAGCTGTACACGACGATGCCGATCGTAAAGCTCGCCGCGTTCCTCGACATGAGCGAGGACGAGCTGCGCACCTACCTGCTCTGCTTCAAGGTGAGCGTGCGGAGGGCACGAGGATGCGGGCGACGATGCGGGTCTGTGTGTAACACGTGTGGGTCGGTGGGGGGATGGAGTGAGTGTGTAGTGTGGGTGGGTAGAGTGGGTGGGGAGAGTGAATGGCGTAGAGTGGGTGGGCAGAATGAGTGCATAGAGTGGCTGTGTAGAGTAAGTGTATATAGTTGGTAGAGTGCGTAGGGAGGGTGGAGTGGGTCGTGCAGAAAGTGGGTGGGTGGGGGGGGGTAGGTATAAAAACAAGCTGATGTATGCTATTATTATAGAGTGATTGATGTCGTCGTCTGCTGTGGTGCGTGAAGCTTGTAAATTTCTAATAATGAAGTAATGTTGAGTGTATGCTTCTGTAGCTCTGCTGTTGGCGGCCATGATGACTGGAAGCATTAATCAGGTTTTTATTTTCTTCCTCCATATTCAGCATAAGATGAAGAATCTGGTGTGGATAAAGGGTACGAGCGGGCTGGAGGGAGAGTTCCACTCGGCCTCCGAAGTCGACTTCTACATTGACAAGGTGTGTTTGACATTCAGGAAGATTTAGACATTGCTGTGAGCAATCTCACAATGCTTGGAAATGTGAGCTTGATCCCTGGGTTGTCTCTAAGGGGGAAAGATGCACTGCACTACCCCGTTTAGTGTTATAAGCCAATTATTTAATGCCGTCTAGCTGTAAACTTAGCTGTAAAATTACAATTCAATACAGTGCCATGTAGGCAGTGATGTAGCAGAAATGCAGGGTCGTAAGACATCGCTTAAAAATTCAAATCGGAGTACAAGTACAAGTACACAAGATTATGCACAATCTAAAGTAAAGATCATCTTTTTTGCAGTATCATTGAAGTAGGCCTATTATCAGGATTTGAGCGTGACACAGTTATTTATTATCTTAAATATAGTTGTATGTATGCCAGCAAGTGACAGTAGCAGCAGTTCGACGTATACTAACTGAAAGACGGATTTATTTTAATTGCAGAACATGATTCACATTGCCGACACTAAGGTGGCTCGTCGCTATGGTGACTTCTTTGTTCGACAGATCTTAAAGTTTGAGGAGGTAGGTGTTTCCCTTCACGTTCCCTCACTGAACCTTCTTGCATAAAAAATAATCGGAGTATACTGTGTGTACAACAGGGTTATCAACAAATGTGATTCCTACAGATATTATTACAGTGAAATTTACTAGTAATTCTTATCTCTCCTTTCTTTTCAGCTGAATCGAAATTTGCACATGCTTAACCAATAGAAACAGAGAGTGGGATTACGTCCGAGGAGAGCAAGCAATGGACAATAGCCATGCTAGGAGAAGGAGCTTGGAGTTTAGAAACCTAGCATGGTAGATCTACCTGCACAGTATCACATGGTCAAACCATCATCATTGAGTTGCTACCATTTAGATAGTGACAGACGTTTATGTATTAAACTGGGGACTGGTTGAATTTTTTTATGCATACCAATTTCTTATATTATGTGAACCGTTTTTTTTTCCTGTTTGAATCTGTTACGCTGGGGTTGGCTGGTGTAATGCTCAACTTTAAATGTGACATTTAATTGTGCGTATGGAAAATTGTAGGTAAACACATGCTTATATAAAAGCTTCGTGCAAGAGAAATTTTATTCTTAAGTTGATTCATCAGTGACAGTCCCCCTATCTCACGGATTTCACTTATCATGTAAGCATAACCTTTGACCTTTGGTTACAATTGGTGTCAGTTTGACGCTCTTAACTATAAACCTTATAGTGTGATTGTATTGAATCGAGCAGGGACTACACGTAGAGACATCGTACGGTAACAGTAATGTGCCATACCTGACTATACACATATATGACTTGGACCTGCACGTAATCTGTATTAATAAAAAAATGTTGCTGTAATTGTGTTGCTTTTTTGTGTTGATTTTTTTCGCTTAATACCGAGCATGCGTGCACATACATCTGAGCCTATATTACAGTATAGGAACATTCTAGAGACAGGGCATTTTATCAGTGAGATTTTGGGATAGCCATTTTTCTCTTGAGAGAGCCTCTGCTATAGCATGAACATAAATATATAAATATATATTGGTGATAATGATGCTGAAGGTGGCGACGGTGGTGTCGTTGTTGCTGGTCGTGTTCGTGGTAAATGACGTATATGGTCTGTGACTATTAGGTACAGCGGGACACGATATCGCAAAGTCATGTTTTTGTATGATAAATATTTATATAGCAACCCCTTCCTTCCGTTTTAATCGATATCAAGAGTAGATAATAACACATGCCCTACTTGTGTCGATATGCAGCCTGCGTATGCACGAGAACGGGTTCTGGCTGGCTTATACTGACGTGGGAAGCAAAGGTCAGTGGGCTAAGCATATAGGCGGCATACCGATTCCCGTACACGTATCCGCACGCACTCTCGCAGAACCGCTAGCAACCGAAGCGCAATGGCGGACAACCTATTCAGCTTAGATAACGATGTATTCGCTAACTTCACTTTCTACGCGGCTTTCATCGTCTGGAAGATGTGCATGGTTTCTGTGGTGACTGCCATAACGAGGTTTAAGAAAATGGTACGTGTCCTGTGTCGCTGCGTAGCAGCGGTCGTGCGTTATTCGTTCACGTCAGGGAAATATGACCCGTGCTTATTTAGGTATAATTCATATATACATTCTGCCAAACATCGTTATCATGACAACTAATATCATTACGACAAGTTTGCGTGCGATGAACTATGTATACAGAACCCTAGACGGTTAGGTAAGAGCAACGAGGAACCTAGTAATCGTATATATTGCAATAGAATTTTACTTTCAAGTGTTACTACAGCTAGGCTCAGCGTTTGGTTTATGCATGCAGGCGTTTTCCTCCGCGGAGGACTGCAAGTCTGACCCTTCCGGCAAGCTAAAGCCGATCTTGAATGATGAAGATGTGGAGCGAGTAAAAAGGTAAGCGCGATATGCTGCGGCGTTTGTCTGCATTATGTTATTAGTTAGTTATGCCCGTCCCCTAACTCTCTCTCTCGCGCGCGCGCACGCTCTTTCTCCCCCCCTCTCTCTCTACCTCGCGCGCGCTTTCTCTCTCTCGCTCTGTTTGTCTTTCTCTCATTCTCGCTCCCTATCTGTTTATTTATCTAGCTCGCGCTCTGTCTCTATATGTATATATATATATATATATATATATATATATATATATCCTGTCTGTTCGTTCGTCCGTGCGTCCTGTCTGTATACATATTCAATAATTATGTATGATTCTCTTCATCCATCTTCCCCTCTCCCTCCCTTAATTGCTACCACTTCCTTCTGCTTCAGAGTGCACATGAACGACTTGGAGAACATCGTCCCCTTCGTGCTGCTGGGGTTCCTGTACGTCGGCACCGCCCCGTGCGTCGTCCTCGCCACGTGGCATTTCCGCGTGTTCGTCGTCGCACGCTTCCTGCACACGATTTTTTACAAACACGCCTTCAGACAGCCCCTGCGCGCCATCTCGTGGGTGATTGGCTTCCTCGTCAACATCTCTATGTTCGTGCAGATCATGTACACGGTGTGCACGTTATAGGAGCTGCTGCGAAGTTAGTGGGAGATGGATAGATAGGATTGTAGATTGTTCCGTGCTATTTCAAACTATTCCCGTCCGCCATGATTCATATAGCTAGACCTTTACTTGAACATAGACCTTGTATCTAGACCTTACTTGTACACGCTGTGTAGGCCGTACGTAAGCTGCTGGATAGAGATGGGGGGTGGCTAGATAGGATGGAAGCTAGATGAATAATAATGAAAATTTTCTTGCTATTCCTGGTTAAGATTTCCAGCTCATTCATGTTCTCTTGGCGCGGTTCGTTTAGCCTGTGACGAGGGAAGTAGGGACATAATCCCTTCCTAGGGTTTTCTGGTCATCATGTTCGTCTAGTGACACACGCTGGGATTTCTGTACTCTCATGACCGTAGTGTACGTAGCACCGAAGTTCATATCAAAAAATTTATATCAAAGTACACGTCTCATGTATGAAATAGAAACGAAATAAATTACTAGAATGTTTACCAACAAAAGCACACTGCGCATTTATTTACAGCATATCTTACGTATACTATACAAACGGATAACAGACAGCTGATTTGGATTGCATATTAATACGGGTGGATGAATATATTCTGTAGAAATGGAAATACGTACACATATAGGATGTTGTTACTGACTATTTCTTTGGTTACATCTTGGAGTAATCATTCTGACTGATGATTCAGATGATTCAGTCAGAATGATTACTCCAAGGTTACATTCGACTTCGGGGACGGGACGTACGTAAGCACTGACACTAGGTATGAAATTTACTGCAGGCTGTGTGTTATCACATATATATATATATTATATGTTATATATATATATATATATATATATATATATATATGTATATATATATATATATAACTCCGTACACATAACAACAGTTGCTACATGTCATACACCTTGCCGAAACAAACAACAATGGTAATGATAATAATCACAATTAACATAATAATAATGATAATAATAATATAATACTTATACATACATCAATAAGCATAGATAAAAAATTAGAAGCGTGCACACAAAAATATTTCCACCCACCGGCCGATAGCCAGTGTACTGGTTGTGACTAGAAAGGGAGAAATGTGGTCGATAGCGAATTCGAATGCTTCTCACGGGAAATGTGCCCTACGTTGTGCCGAACAATCTTACACATACTCGGAGTGCACTTAAGATGCATTCACCCCACCCTCAATTTCATACTGTACGCAATCAAGCCTAGTCACACTGCTGCGATCACACAGGCAGTAGAACCTCACGAGTGATCATGAACATATACATATTCGAGGCATAGAGCATGATCACATTACGATACATTCATGGGCATAAATCCCGGGGGGGATGGGGGGATGCATCCCCCCCCGCTCTTGAAGGAGGGGGGGATGGCCTGTACAAATATCCCCCCCTGAGATTCAAAAAAAAACTCCTTTCTCCGTGCCCCACTTGAAAGTTCAGCTAATTATGCCATCTGAGGGGGTCTAATTTCAAACGCGCCGCTTCGTCGATAATGACCCAGAGTAATTCTCCCGTTGAAAATCACAGCTAATATAATATCCTACGCGACCTTTGCACAGAATCTTCACCTCGGAGCGAGAGCTTACGGTGAGCTTACTAATAGTTGCGTCTCGCGACTAGTACAAATGCGTAATACTGCCCGCGAGAGACACGCACGCAGCACTCGCGCTCAGACGAAAGCACGTTCCAGAGCGCAGACGCCAGACCGCCCCGTCTCCGCGAACGCCCACGTGCCGCTCCGTGACCTCTCTCGCATGATAATGCGAAACCCGACGTATGACAGGAACTTCGCGTGTCGACCTCCGCCGCTGCCGCCGCCGTTGCCGGCATACGGAAACAAGTAGCGGTGCATGACGTCTGCGGCTGGAGCGCCGTAACTGCCCTGGCTGGCAAAATAACACGCAAACAAAAAAACAAGTGACAGTAACGACTGCGGCGGCAGCGCCACCAACTGGCGAAAATAAAATGCAAACCAAAAGAACAGCAAGCAAGTGGCGGCCGCCGTGCGTCCTTGAAAATGCGCACACGTAGAAACGGAGTACTCTGCGCGCTTAGCAGTAGCCACCATCGCCGTCAGAGTGGGCGACCGCGCCGGGTCAGCGGTGGACGGCTGCCCGGGGTCGGCAGTGGGTGGGGCGCCCGCACCGGGGTCGGTCTGCCCGTCTACGTGACGTTGGAGCCGAAGGTACCGCTCGGCGGTCGGTAGGCCCTCGGAAACGTCATCATCTGGAAGGCGTTGAACGCGTACTTGTCGCATCCCGTGTTCTTCACCGTGTTTTTACGGCGCACGCCCTCGCTGCAACGACAACGAAGTACCATCATTACTCGAGCACACGAGCACGGACTTACGTGCTGTCATCTAGAAACAAGGGGATGGTCTGATAGGAGGCTAAGCATGCGAGGGGAATCACTAGGTCTGTGTTGTGAAATATCGCGTATAACCGTATATCGTAATGGGAAATGTAAATGTATAATCATATGAATATGTATACAGTGGATAGGTAGAATGTGTATGTATGTGAGAAATTGTAATCATTTTTTGTTATCGGTTATTCAGCGCAGCGGCGCCAGATAGAAAGTGATGACGTGTGTGGGGCGTAGAGATCGTGGGAGAGTGGTACGAGGAGCGCGAGGGAAAGCAGAGCGGAAACAGACGATGAAGGAGACGGAAGCGCGAATGACATTATGCTGCATATATGAGTGAGACGCATAAATAAATACAATACGTTGCAGAATATTTCGAAGTGTACGTTGTCGATGAATATAGAGTGAGTTTCCGCAACAGTCTGGTAAGGAAGGAGAACGGTCGGGGAGAAGTGTTGGAGTTTGAGGCAAGGTTGTGAGGAGGTTGAGGGGGAAGAGGGGTTGTAGGCGAGACAATGGTGTCGAAAGCCATCGAGAAAGGAAGAAAGAGACTCTGAGGAGAAACAATGGGGTTGCAAAGGAGGAATGAGTGTATGAGACAAACGTCACGGTGCGCGGGGCATTGTGTAGGCAGGGTGAGAGCGTGATGTAAGTGTTAGGATGCAAAATAATTGTGAAATTGCAAGAAAAAAATGTTCCGGTGTGACGAGATACTGTCAAGATCACCATAATGACCGGCATGAGGAATTCATGTGAGTGTTGAAGTGCGCGAGGAAACAACGAAGGTGTCAGGGAATACCGCCACTTTGAGTGTACTGTATACGCCATATTTTTCGCGTACAGATATTTGCGCGAATTCAGGCTTGACGGACAATTTCGCGAGTGTTTGATTTCGCGGTCAGTGAAATATGAATTATTCGGTATTATTCGGTATGATTTATTCGCGTGTTGTTATTTTTGCAGTCGGGGACGCGTTCGCGAAACTCGCGAAAATTAAACCACCGCGAAATATACAGCGTATACAGTATTAGCTTAGCTGTGTGAGCCAGGCGTGTAACGTGAACACTAACCTTCGCATGCAATCTAATACGGCGCTGCTCTCCTGCGATTCGACACAGAAATCGTGCTGGAGAATGTGACACTGCTCCAGTGTTACAGACATCGCAGTCCTGTCCTTGGCGCTTTTGCAACTGGTGAAACGCAGACCATTCATCTTCCGGCTGACCTGAGAACACCGTAGAGGCACGTGAGCACGTAAAACAACGTAGACATCATTCAGGTTATAGGTTGGTTGGCCTATCCTCCGGGAAACAGGAGGCCCGGGTTAGCACTACACGAAGTTTCATAGGACTAGCTCCATGAACTTTGGCGAAGAAAGGGTGTACACCATATTTGCATGAACCCAATCACACAACACACGGTGGCACGACATCACTGTGAAAAACACGCATGTGAGAAGAACGCTTGTGAGCAAAGAGCAAAGCAACTGCTGCACAGCTTACCTGCGCTGCCAAGTGCAGTATCTCGACGTTCTTCGACGTCTTCTGTGCCACGCTGGTCTGCAGCTGGTTGAAGAGAGACAGCAGGACGGAGTTGCCGCTGTCATGGCGTGACCTCCCTACAAGTCACGCAATGGCTGTTATACACACCACCAATCTCTCTCCCTCACGTACGAGTGTGTGTAAAACTGTAAATACATATCTAATTGTGTGGGCGGAGAAATAAATTGGAGTGTGACTTGTATAGGTAAAGAACGCGCACTGACTAGCACGAGGGAGCTGGTAATGGAATAGGCTAATATAGTGGCTGGTGGATTGGACGAGTGGGAATGATGTGAAAATGACGAGTTACCAAATGCCATATTTCTGATCAAAAAGAGACGAGATGAGAAATGATTACTGCTCTGCCACTGTCACTCCTAAAGAAAACCTGCTATGAACTCTGAGATGAGTAACCATTACGCAGTGGTACAGTAGGCGTGACTAGGTTCACACGTACTTCTGTGTATGGGAGTTGTCGTGAGATCCTTGAACTTTTCCCAGTAGCCTTTCAGCTTCTCTAGGTTTTCAGCATTTATGTGCTCCTGCAGAGATGTGTCGCCGAACCTACACCGGGAAAATAAATGACGCATGGAAGGCTACTGAAGCAGGGAATAATGTGCCAAGAAAGCAGATTTCGACACTAGTGAAATAAATAGAAGTTCCAATGCAATAAAATCAAAACTCTGTCTCCCTTTAGCGCTATGTTAAAGCACTATGCAGGAATTTGCAAATAGTCTTTTCATCCGTTTTTTCTTTCACCTATTTTGCCTTCTAAAGCCAGCAGCACAAATGCAGGCAAGCATAAATAGGTGTATCGATAACAGAAACATTAGTTGAAATTTGGACATGGTTATTTAAAAAAAAATTCATATTACTTTAAATATTTATAATATTTTATAAGTATTATAACTGTCTACTTTATACTTATATACTTTTCTAATTACTTTAAATACTTAAAAACAGTCGGTCTGTTAGTAACGAACAGACCGGAAAGTCAGTGACTGCGGCCACACCAGCATACCTTTCAGCGAGGGTGGCATTCTCGTTAATGCCGATGCTAAATAGCAGTGGCACGACGATGATCATGTGACCATGCTGAAGCTCCTCCCGTAGATTCACAAACACGCATTTTGGCACAGGAATTCTAACCAATAGGACGGCACTGTAAAAAAAGATGTGTAGACCTAGTGAATCGGACATGACGGACAACGCTTTATAAAGAATAGCGACGTCACAGAGATAGAGGGAGCACATGAGAGCGAGAGAGAGAGAGAGAGAGAGAGAGAGAGAGAGAGAGAGAGAGAGAGAGCGAGAGAGAGAGAGAGAGAGAGAGAGAGAGAGAGAGACGAGAGAGGAGAGAAAGAGAGAGAGAGAGAGAGAAGAGAGAGAGAGAGAAGAGGGAGGGAGGGAGGGGAGGGATGGGAGAGAGAGAAAGAGAGAGAGAGAGAGAGAGAGAGAGAGAGGAGAGAGCATGAGAGAGAGAGAGAGAGAGAGAGAGAGAGAGAGAGAGAGAGAGAGAGAGAGAGAGAGAGAGAGAGAGAGAGAGAGAGAGAGAGAGAGAGAGAGAGAGAACAGAAGGCGATGGCGTGCGCTGAGGCGAGAGCAGAGAGAGAGAGACGAAGAGAGACAGAGAGAGAGAGAGAAGAGAGAGAGCATGAGAAAGAGAGAAGCTGAGATTAAGAGAGAGATAGAGAGAGAGAGAGAAGAGAGAGATTGAGAGGACAAGAGCGAGATTGAGAAAGAGAGAGAGTGAAGATTGAGAGAGGAGCAGGCGTGAGAATCGAGAAGAGAGGCAAGAAGAGAGAGAGAGAGGGTAAAAGAAAGATAGAGAGATATACACATATATAGAGACAAAAAAAGAGCGAGAGAACGAGAGCGTGACCTGCGAACAAAGGATAGACGCAGAGAACAGCATAACAGACGTACGTAGAAAGAACATCACAACTGCTGTGGCGCGAGATCTCCCGTTCGACGTGCGTACGAACCGCGCAACGCTCGGTCCTCGACCGGACGACAGCACGAATCGCACGTTCCTCAACTCCTGCACGGCGACGACCATGGTCCTCCAGGCATCCCGTCTCGTCGCCATAGCAACTCACCGGAGCTCTCGAACTGCGGCGAGCACACCGAGTGACGGCCGTGCGAAACGTAGGCGTCGTCGAGCGGCTGCACCAGCGCGCGTCATGAAGGCGAGCGAGACGAGAGACGTCACCTGGCAGCAGAGCGGTCCGTCGACGGCGATCGACGATGCCAGCAATTAGACACACGTCAACGTCGAGGCAGGAATTCGAATTTGTTCGGCCGATGCTAACGATGCGTTTTCTCTTGAGAAGGTTAATATCGAAATGCATTCGGCCCCAATTTGTTATTAACGTTAATGATGTATGTTTTGATGTTAATTTTGAGACGGAATCGCAAGCAATTGTTATTAACATTACAACAGTGGCTTGTTGATGTTTTAAGACTTTTTTATTAAAATGATGAATCACAATTTGTTCACTAACACAGAACACCCGATTGTGCTGCTAAGTTTGCATTTTCGAGATGAATCCACAATTTGTTACAAGGTTAACAGTTACGGCTAAAATTTGGCCTCCTAATAATGATCAAGGAATCCGAGTAACATTATTTCCCAAAGTTATGGTTTTCAGCAATTTAGCATTAGTTATTTAGTCATTAGCTAATTGGGTGCAATTCTGTGGTTTACTTTGAACTTACCGGCTTGAGTGAGAGACAACATCGCTGCCGTAACTGTATCGTCTGTGCGTAGGTCAGGTTTCTGCTGGACTGCCTGCCCAAAAAAGAGACGCAGGTCAAACACTCAAACCATTTTTATTTTACTAGACCAATCAGCCTGTAACTGAGGAAAACCGACTTGCCCTGACCTACTTTCACATAGCCCAGACCAGACCATTGTATATGAAAAACTTTGTGTCATCGTATGAATTCTACTTAAAATTTCTCTAAATTTACTGCACTTAGCAGCTACACACATACAGATCACAGCTGGCCATTTCTGCGGCGAGCGTCGTTTCCCGCTGGCGCTTTAAATCGCGTGCCGGCCGAGTCCCAGGTGCCAGGCATTTATAATATTCGTGTTCTACCGCGAGCATAGACAGGCGGCACGATTTATCGATCGTCTTACTGCCAAGCGGTTGGAAGCAAGCCACGTTTACGGTTATTGTTTTTGCCAAAGGGTAGTTACTGGATCCGGCCTCACGCTCTCTGCAGAAATGTACACGCTCTGCGACAAACAGTAGCGGCGCGAACCAGTCTAGCCAAGGCACGACCGGCTCAAATTACAGAAAATGGCAAGGCAGGGTGACGCCGTCGGTCCGGGTTGGATTTTCAGGGGAGTACGGCCGATTGATAGGGCACCGACGCAATTGCATCGGTGCGTCGGTTAAATTCGAGCCCTGCGTGTGACAGTCACGTTTCCGCCACATTTATCAAAAACATGAATGCACGCTACAAGGTACAGTGCATCATCACACGCATGCACGCACGCACACACGCCACGCACGCCACCACACACACTATCTATTACAGCGTGACGCCCAGTCACTTTCAACAGAGATTTAACTCAGAAAGCCAAGCACGAAATCACACAACAACACAGCAGCATCTGCGCGCGCACTCCCCGACGCACTCTTTTCAGACACACGCGTCGTCAGGACATCGCCCACGGACTTGCCACAGGTGGCGCTCACGGCATCGCCTGCAGTTTGACGATGCTACGGCTCGAGCTCGCTCACGCCAGTCACGCGGCTTCGTCCGTGGCGGCCACCAGCAGCGCGCCGCCGCCGCCCGGCCGACACACGCGCATCAGGCGTCCACCTCTTGACACGATTGCAGACTAGGTTCGCCTCCACGTTCCAGCCGACTGAGATCTGCGGGAGAGACGAGGGACCGTAGCAGCGGCGTGAAAGTGCGCCGATGACGCTGACCGCGCGCCGGGGCGTAGGACCCCTACTGTTCGTGCCCGAAAATTAATATATTTTATTTTTCTTCTTAGACCCTTCAGTCTCCCTGGGAGACACAGGTGAAAAGCATGGTGAAGCTTCCTCCAATGTCGCTCGGTTGAATTAAAATATTGCATTGATAAATTGATAAAGTATTGCATTGATAAAAATTGCATAATAAAATAATTAGACTGATGAGAATGATAACAATAAAAATATAATAATAAAACAGTTCTACTGTCGCAATGCTCGGTTCTGCATGGTCACACGAAACCGCAACTGTGACGTAGTGTGCGTGATTTCCGTGAGCGCGTGATTAAAGGAGTGTATGTCACGCGGGAGTATACTCTTGGCATGGACTCCCTATATTATAACTCGCCTCAAATAATGTCGGGCATAAGCCAAGCATCATGCCATAGAATTTACTGGAATCACAAGGCCACTCGTTCCTCCCCTAGCTTCGTTAGTCGCATCCAAATACATATGACATCGTAGCGAGAAAGAAATATCACTTATACTGTTAGCACATCGTGCC